GGATTTTTTTTAAAAATCTAATAAATTAAATAATAAGTGGCTCCTTGTATAGTAATCAATAATGAAGGTGATGGAAAAGCAAAATTCACCTAAATACAAAGTTGTATGTATATAAAAGTGCTGTAATGAATTCATTATGCTGTATACTATTGAAGAAAGATGTAATATTTGTGAGAAGGACAATATTAATACTGGGTTCCATGTACAAACTAGAATACTGGAAATTTTGAATACAATGTTTAAAGATGAATTTTCCCCATTAAAGGTTCCATCTGCCATGTCCCTATTTGTGTGTGTCTGTGTTTGATCTACCAGGACAGTTCATACAGAATCCCAGATTTTATACATACATGTTAATTTTTAGGTGTTTAACAAGATCTAGAGAAGAGAACCAAAACAATGCACTAATAAATATCTATTACTCCCACTACACACACACACATGAAAGAACTGTATTTGTTCTAATTTGTGAAAAGTGATGAAGATGGCTCAGTCTGTATTTGTTTTCATACATTCAGTTCAATCACCCTATTTGTTGAAGCTGCTGAGTTTATTCCAGGGTCTATTTCTAAATCCTTATAAAAGATCAGGTGTCCACAAATGTCTGGACTTAAAGTATCTTCCATTTGATTTATTTGACCAACTTCTCTGCTTAGATACCAGACCATGAACCTTTTAATTCTATGGCATCTGAAGTATGTCTTAAAATGGTGAATGGTGAGAACTGCTGCTCTGTTATTAATTTTGGTATTATTTTTAGCCATCCCAGGTTTGCTGAGTTTACATCATAATTAAAAAATCCTCTTCATAGATCTGGCAACAATTGTGTAGGACAAAGATTTAATGAATATATTGTTTTTGTCAATCAGAGTGATCCACGAGCATAGGGAATCTTTTCATCTTTTGATATCTTTTTCAAATTTTTTTTATTTTAAAGCCACAAATATTTTAATCACACAAAAGCTGCTGTTAAGATGGGAGTATGCATTACAGTGAGATTAAATAGCTAAAACGTTACAAAAAATTAATGAGCATGTCAGTACCTTGAGAATTCATATGAATGTTTATATTTAAAATGTGAGTAGAAATTGTGGGCACCATTGTGGTAAGCATATACAGCTAATACTGTTAGTAATAGAGGAATACCTTATGATCCAAGCATGCCTCTCATGGAATTTTCTAGGAACCAAAAGTCAGCATAGGAAATAGACACTTGCTCGTTCCTCTTTATTTCAGCATTATTCAGAAGATACAAGATATGGAATGAACATCCCAACACATGAGTAAATTAAGATATCATCTAAAATTGAATGATTTTACTTTCAAATATACAAATATTCATTATTGTTATTTACAGTGCATTCTTAGAATTTTTAAAGATTCATTCAACAAATTACCACAGTTGAATATACACCCAGTGATTTTTAACTTAAACATTACACTGATTTTATTGAAGCTTAAATTAATAGCTACCATGTAATCCATAAATTTGTGAAACCAATGATGAAATTAAATGAATAAGTTTACTAGGTACAGATGTTGCTTTGACATGTTGGAATTAAGATGAATGCGTCATAGAACTTACATGCACATAGAGGAGTTGTCTTCAACCTGGAAGAGTTAAATGATAGGGCATCTCTTGGGTATATTCCCAAGAGTGGTATTGCTGGGTCCAGGGGTAGGTTGATCCCGAATTTCCTGAGAAACCGAAACACTGACTTCCAAAGTGGTTGCACAAGATTGCATTCCCACCAGCAATGGATGAGGGTACCCCTTCCTCCACAGCCTCTCCAGCAAAGGCTATCCTTGGTGTTTTTGACTTTAGCCATTCTGACAGGTGTAAGATGATATCTCAAAGTTGTTTTGATTTGCATTTCCCTGATTGCTAAGAAAGTTGAGCACGACCTTAAGTGTCTTTTGGCCATTTGAAGTTCTTCTGTTGAGAATTCTCTGTTCAGTTCAGTGCCCCATTTTTTAATTGGGTTAATTAGCATTTTAAAGTGTAGTTTCTTGAGTTCTCTATATATTTTGGAGATCAGACCTTTGTCTGTTGCGGGGTTGGTGAAGATCTTCTCCCAGTCAGTAGGTTGCCTTTGTGTCTTAGTGACAGTGTCCTTTGCTTTACAGAAGCTTCTCAGTTTTAGTAGGTCCCATTTCCTAGAGCAATACTGACGAATATCTTGCATATCATCATAGAACCTTCATCTGGTGATGGATGGAGATAGAGACAGAGACCCACACTGGAGCACTGGACTGAGCTCCCAAGGTCCCAATGAGGAGCAGAAGGAGGGAGAACATGAGCAAAGAAGTCGGGACCACGAGGGGTGCACCCACCCACTGAGACAGCGGAGCTGATATGTTGGGAGCTCACCAAGCCCAGCTGGACTGGGATTGAAAAAGCATGGGATAAAACTGGACTCTCTGAACATGGCGAACAATGAGGGCTGATAAGACGCAAAGGACAATGGCATGGGGTTTTGATCCTACGTAATGTGCTGGCTTTGTGGGAGCCTAGCCAGTTTGGACGTTCACCTTCCTAGATATGGACAGAGGGGGGAAGACCTAGGACTTACCACAGGGCAGGAAACCCTGACTGCTCTTTGGACTGGAGAGGGAGGGGGAAAGGAGTGGGGGGAGGGGGAGAAGGGTGGGAGGAGGGAAAGAAGGGTAGGAGGAGGGGGAGGGAAAGGGGAGGCTGGGAGGAGGTGGAAACTTGTTTTTTTTTTCTCCTTTTCTCAATTAAAAAAAAAAAAGAGTTAAATGATGTCATTACCAGGAACTGGAGAAGGAATATTAGGTCATCATGTTAACTGAACAGAAAGACTTCAGAAATTTGATTTTTCACCAATGCTGAAGTTAATTCTCTGTGTGTGTATGAATGTGTGTGTGCATGGATGTGTGTGCATGTGTGTGTCTGTGTACATATATACATGCATTTTAACACAAAGAAAGTGGGAGAGATATTATTTGAGATTTGATTGCCTAATAGAATCCATTGGGGTGCTATGTGAAGCTAGTACAAAGAAAATATCACACTTGTCTCATAAATTGAACAAGCCCCCACACATCATCAAGTGAGCAGAAAACTTTTTGAATTGAAAAATAGAATTAGTAGAAAGATTTGCAGTAGATGTGGTTAACAGCATGTAAAATACCAACAAAGGACATGCTTCACATTTATAAATGTGACAAAACAAAAGTCTTTATGTTATGTATTAAATAAAATAATAATTATTACACAGAAGACAAAACTGGAAAACATAGCAAAACTGGAATGAAGGAGCTTTCATTTGCACTCGTGAAACATGATTTCTCTGGGTCTTGAGATAGAACAATTCTCAATTTTCTGAAAAAGCGACTGTCTCTAACACCTTTGCAGGCTTTTGGGACCCTACTTTTCAAATTGAAGCTCCTTGACCACATTTAATACAAGGTGAGGTGCTTAGTCTTATTACAACTTGATATGCCATGTCATGTTGATATTTACAGGAGGGCTGATATTTTTTAAATAGAAACGGGAGAAGTAGGCTGGGGTGGGGGCAGATAGGAAGTGGAATGACTGAGAAAAGAGGAAGGAGGAGAAACTGCAGTTGGGATGTAAAATAAGTACATAAATAAAAGGTTGAATTTCTTTTCTGTTCCTGTAAAAGACTCCTCCTGTCACATTATTTTCTATCCACAACTTTGCCCACCATGACACCTCATCGAAGAATCAGAGGACATGAACTTTTTAAATGTTGAGCTTTAAATGTGAAGTAAACGCCAGATGATAACCCTAGTGTTGTTTTCCTGGTCTTAAATGATAGTAAGTAACAACAGCAAAGGCTTACCCTACGTTTTCCCTGCTTTCTTTGCAGACCGTATTTGTTGAAATATGTGCATCAGCTCCCACTCAACAAATGGTTCTCACACTGGCATTGCAGGGTCAAGAATGCAAGCAAAACTAGAGGAAAAAGAAAATGGTATTAGAGGAATGTATACATTGAACCCAGGGTCAGGGTCACTGTGCTGTTTCCATTTGCTTTGTAGATACTCAACAAGATTTCTTTGCAGCCACAACTGGAATCTAAAATGAGAAAAACACTGTAGGAAATCAGATGAAGCAGAACATATTGGTCAAAATAAAGAATTCATGTATGAGAACTGAGGATTGGGGAGGGATTTTCTGTTTCAATAATCATATATTCACCTTTTCTTCTCTATACTAATGATTGGTTGGTACAAGGGGTGAGCAATATCATTTAGTATTTGAAATGTAGGACACAAAATATCGATGGAACATGTTGAATATTCAAAAAAACATGTTTATGTGGTGCTCTAAATGTAACAGTGGTTCTGTGATGAACTGGGTAGTTTAGAACAGCAGGATTCTGTAAATTTTGGAATTTTGCCGGATTATTGCTTCTCAAGACAATGGAAGCACAGTGTTTGTTTTAAATATTCTATAACTGTCACTGTTTCAGTATAGGCCCTACTGTGCATCTTGTGTAAAACTCAATTGCTCCCAACATAGAGGTGTTTTTCAAGGATAGGGACTTTGTGAAAGAATTCCAACTGTGTAACCAGAAATTCTTGTGAGTCCTTACTGACTCGTTAGCGCATGTCTCAATGTGGATCAACTAACAAAATCTACTGACATCATTTCTAAAGGCACTGGCACAAACAGAATGCTCAGGAAGTCTTGGAACCAAATATTCTCAAAATGGCATCCTCCAAGGAGCCTTAATTTCTGCAAATATGAATGATGTCAAGAAACTACATTAACTGTCATATATATTTATCACTCAAATTTAAACACAGGGACATCAGGTGCAGAGCCCCAGGGAAGAGACTGTCCAACATTCTTCCAGAGGTGAAAACCACTTTGGAAAGAAAAAAAAAAGCTCTCATCTGGATACAGAAATAAAAGCAGATAGGAAAAATATATGGGTGCCAATGTAATGTATTGATCTGAATAGTACTTCACAACACACACTGCCTAGGTTTTAAGTAGGACAAAGATGTTCACTTTGATTTTCCTCTTATTTCTACTTCTTTTGCCAAGGTTCATTTATCCTAGATGCTTTTGGAGAATGAAGCAGAATAAAGACAAGGATGGAGACTTGGTGAAAGATTGTGCCTTCTTCCTTGCAAGTGTGCAGCAGCCTGTAGAGATAGATTATTTCAAGCACATTCTGAATGAGCAGTAAGTTCCTTTGTATTTTCTATGTTATATAATTTGGGAATAGAAGATGAAAATCAGAGCAATATTTTGAGTCATTTGTTCTGGTGTGCAGCTGTAGGAGTTCTTTGGTAGAGTTTTTGGGGTCGCTTATGTACACTATCATATCATCTGCAAATAATGACAGTTTGACTCCTTCCTTTCCAATTCAAATCCCCTTGATCTCCTTATGTTGTCTTAATGCTATTGCTAGAACATCAAGCACTGTGTTGATGAGATATAAAGAGAGTGGACAGCCTTGTCATGTTCCTGATTTTAGGGGAATCATTTTGAGTTTCTCTTCATTTAATTTACTGTTAGCTGGAGCCTTGCTATATATTGTTTTTTATTATATTTAGATATGATCCTTGTATCCCTAATCTTTCCAAGACCTTTATCATAAAGGGGTGTTGAATTTTGTCAAATGCTTTTTCCACATCTAATGAAATGATCATATGGTTTTTTTCTTTCAGTTTATTTATATGATGGATTACATTGTTAGATTTTCATATGTTGACCCAACCCTGCATCTCTGGGATGAAGCCTACTTGATCATAATGGATGATTTTTTTGATGTGTTTTTGGATTCAGTTTGCCAGTATTTTATTGAGAATTTTTGCATCGATGTTCATGAGTGAGATTGGTATATAATTCTCTTTCTTGGTTGAGTCTTTGTGTATTTTGGGTATCAGGGTAACTGTAGCTTCATAAAAAGAGTTTGGCAATAACTCTTCTGGTTCTGTTATGTGGACATATTAAGGAGTATAGGTATTAGCTCTTTTTGGAAGATCTGGTAGAATTCTTCACTAAAACCATTTGGCCCTGGGCTTTTTTGGTCGGGAGTTTTTTGACGACAGCTTCTATATCCTTGTGACTTATAGGTCTATTTAAATTGTTCACCTGTTCTTGGTTTAATTTTGGTATATGTTATTTATCTAATAAAATGTCCGTTTCTTTTACATTTTCTAATTTTGTGGCATATAGGCTTTTGTAGTAAGAGCTAATGATTCTCTGAATTTACTCAGTGTCTGTTTTTATGTCTCCCTTTTCATTTCTGATCTTGTTAATTTGAGTGTTCTTTCTCTGTCTTTTGATTAGATTGGATAGGGGTTTGTCAATCTTATTGATTTTCTCAAAGAACCAGCTCTTTGTTTCATTCATCCTTTGGATTGTTTTCTGTGTTTCTATTTTGTTGATTTCAGCCCTCAGTTTGATTATTTCCAGTCTTCTCTTCCTCCTGAGTGAGTCTGCTTTTTTTTCTAGAGCTTTCAGGTGTGCTGTTAAGTCTCTAATGTGAGCTTTCTCCATTTCCTTATGTGGGCACTTAGTGCTATGAACTTTCCTCTTAGCACTGCTTTCATAGTGTCCCGTAGGTTTGGGTATGTTGTGTCTTCATTTTTGTTGAATTCAAGGAAGACTTTAATTTCTTTCTTTTTTGAAAAAAAAATTTGTTTGTTTATTTATTTATTATGTATACACTATTCTTTCTGCGTATATACCTGAAAGCCAGAAGAGGGCACCAGACCTCATTACACATGGTTGTGAGCCACCATGTGGTTGCTGGAAATTGAACTCAGGACCTTTGGAAGAGCAGGCAATTCTCTTAACCACTGAGTCATCTCTCCAGCCCTTTAATTTCTTTTTTTATTTCTTCCTTTACCCAGTGGTGGTTCAGTAATTGACTGTTCAGTTTCCATGAGTTTGTAGGCTTTCTGGGGGTGGTATTGTTGTTAAATTATAACTGTACTCCATGGTGATATAATAAGACACAGGTATCTGTGGATGTTTGCTTTGTTACTAAGTATGTGATCAATTTTCGAGAAGGTTCCATGAGGTGTTGAGAAGAAGACATATTCTTTCCTGTTTTGGTGGACTAGTCTATAGATGTCTGTTAAGAGCATTTGATTCATTATATCTTTTAGTTCTCTTATTTCTCTGTTAAGTTTCTGTCTGGTTGACCTTTCTGTTGGTGAGAGAGGAGTGTTGAAATCTCCTACTATTAGTGTGTGGGGTTTGATGTGTGATTTGAGTTTTAGTAATGTTTCTTTTACATATGTGGCTGCTTTTATATTAGGGGCACAGATATTCAGGATTGAGACTTCATCTTGATGAAATGTTACTGTTATGAGTATTAAGTGTCCTTTTCCATCTCTTCTGATTGATTTTAGCTTGAAATCAATTTTGTTAAATATTAGGATATCCATACCCACTTGCTTCTTAGGTTAGTTTGACTGGAAAACCTTTTCCCAACCCATTACTCTGAGGTAGTGTCTGTCTTTGAGTTTGAGGTGTGTTTCTTGTAAAAAGCAGAATGCTGGATCATGTTTTCATATCCATTCTCTTAACCTGTGCCTTTTTTTTTTTTTGGTTTTTCGAGACAGGGTTTCTCTGTGGTTTTGGAGCCTGTCCTGGAACTAGCTCTTGTAGACCAGGCTGGTCTCAAACTCACAGAGATCCGCCTGCCTCTGCCTCCCGAGTGCTGGGATTAAAGGCGTGCGCCACCACCGCCCGGCCTAACCTGTGCCTTTTTATGGGTGAATTGATTCTATGATATTAAGCAATATTAATGACCAGTGGTTGTTCACTTCGCTTATTTTTTTTGGTGGTAGTGTTTGTGTGTTTTCTTTCTTTGCATTGTGGTGGTGGAGGGTTAACAGATGTCTATTGTCTTCTGGGTGTTCTTTGCTTCCTTGTGTTGAGGTTTTCCTTCTAGTACATTCTGTAAGGCTGGTTTTGTGGATGCATATTGTTTAAAACTGTTTTTTTTTGTCATGGAATATCTTGTTTTCTCAATCAATGGTGAAATAAAGCTTTGCTGGGTATAGTAGTCTGGGCTTGCATCCATGGTCTCTTCGTATCTGCAGCACATCTATCCAAGACCTTCTAGCTTTCATGTTTTCCATTGTGAAATCTGGTGTAATTCTGATAGGTTTGCCTTTATAAATTACTTGACCTTTTTTCCGTTGCAGCTTCTCATATTCTTCCTTTATTATATATTTTCTTCATTATATGGTGAAGAGATTTTTTGGATCCAATTTATTTGGTGTTTTGTAAGCTTCTTGTACCTTCATAGGAAAATCCTTCTTTAGATTGGGAAAGTTTTCTTCTATAATTTCTTTGAATATATTTTCTGGGCCTTTGAGCTGGAATTCTCTTTCTTCTACACTTATTATTCTTAGGTTTGGTCTTTTCATGGTGTCCCAGATTTCCTGGATATTTTGTGTTAAGAATTTGTTGGATTTGATGTTTTCTTTGATTAATGAGTCTGTTTCCTTTATAGTATCTTCAGTGCCTAAGATTCTTTCTTCTATCTCTTATATTCTGTTAGTTATACTTGTCTCTGTAGTTCCTCTTTATTTATCCAGATTTTCTGTATCCAGACATCCCTCAGGTTTTGTTTTCTTCATTACCTCCGTTTCGGTCTTCAGGTCTTGAACTGTTTCCTTTACCTATTTGTTTGCTTTTTCTTGGTTTTCTTGGGTATCTTTGAGTGATTTTTAAAAATTTCTTCTTTTTGTTTGTCTTCTCTTCCATTGCCTTAAGAGAGTTTTTCACTTCCTCTTTAAGGTTCTCCGTTTTCAAAAGATTATGTTTAAAGTTGATTTCTTCTACTTCTTCTGGGTTAGAATGTTCAAGTCCTCCTGTTGTGTGTGCACTGGATTCTGGTGTTACCACGTTGCTTTTCAGGATGCTGGAGGAATTCTTGCATTGATGCCTGCCCATCTCTTCCTTCAAATGAGGCCAGCAGAGTCTTGGCGTCTTGGACCAATCTTTGCTGTGGCTGACTGTGTACTTTGAAGTTTTTCTTGGTCTGCCCTCTCTTAGGTCCCCTCAGCACTGTAACAGGCTCTCAAATCCCCTCTACTCTCCCAAATATTGATTATAAATGTTTGCATTTAAAGGCGGATATGCTATAAAGATTTGTATTGGTACGGATCTTGGTTTATTGATACAAATTTAAAGTCAATTTTGTTATTATCTATATATGTATATATATATATATATATATCTTGATTAAGGAATTGTGTTTGTATAGATCTTTAAAAATATAATGTATAATTAAGAATTATAGATTAATAGATAATCACTTGTAATAGTTAAGCTTGTAGTCATGTTAGTTAGATTTTCTAGATGAACAGATATGTATTTCAGATGAATAGGCATTCTTCAAACCTATCAAAGACTACATAGTATGGCATTTAAAATGTTTTAAGAATTTAGAACTTTTATGACAGTGAGACGTATCTGCTCCTGCCAGCACCAAACAGCTTCAAGAGGAAGACAGGCATTTAAGAGGCTCCTTATGGAGTTTGCTAGCTATTTGAGCAAGAAACTACTCTTGCCTAGACTGCTTGATAGTACATGCAGGACCAACAGAAAAATGACTGCTGAACTTGCTTAAAGGTGAGATGGTCTTTTGGGGTTCCTGCTTCATGAAAGAGTCTGCTAGAAACTGCCATTATTGGCAGAACTATATTTATACTATGGGCCTGTAGGCTGAAGATGGATGCCCCAATGGTACAGAATAACTTTGGGTGACTGTCCAGGCAGCGTGATGTCTCTGTCAATTCTAGAGTTTTGAAAGTTGCTTACAATGTACTTCCTGTTTACTTAGGTAATTTTATATCCTTCTGGATTCTTTGATGGAGCTGAAGAATTTATAGCTATAGTTATAGTTTTCCTTAGTTATGATAAAAGATAAAGTATATATATATAAATATTGTAACTATAGTTCTTGCTTGATACCTGTTTTGTTATATGTAATTTTACTATGTTAAGGTTTAAACCTTCTTTTTTTATTTAAAAAGAAAAGGGGAGGTGATGTGTGATTCCCCTCTGTATGTGGTCAATACTATTTGTTAATAAAGAACCTGGATTGGCCTGATAGGGGTAAATAGAGGTAGGTGGGGAAAACTAAACTGAATGCTGGGAGAAAGAAGGAGGAGTTAAGGATAAGCTATGTAGCCCCACTAGAGACAGACACC